AAAAAAAAAAAAAAAAAAAAAAAGAGACACAGATGATTATAATTCTCAGGGCCATGAGCTATATGATAGTGATGATATTTGTAGAGCCCCTACTATAGCCAGGGAGTTCTTTTCATTATATTCACTAACTCTTTCAGAGGCACAAACTCCTGACCCTGACAGCCAAGACCCATGTCTGCCAAACCCCAAGACCCATGATATGCAAGGGATCTTGCAGGGAGACCAAGAGTTGGGGCATGTAAGAAAACGCAAGTGTGAAGTCGGGCAGGCGGGGAAGCATGTTGTGTGTCAGCCGGCACCAGGTGTGGGCTAGGGTGTGGGAGATGGGTAGATCTGGCTCCACTCCCATGGATTTCCTTATAGTTTCTCCTGGGTGCTCAGACCTGTCACACCTCTGCCATCATTTGACCCTAGGTGTGAGGGTTCAGTCCAGACATTTTAAGCAATTGACTCATAATTTCTTAGGTTCTATGAGTCCTGGCCTAGAGTGATTTCCAAAAAGAAACTTCCACCATTTCCGCTTGTCTTGCCTGCACTGAATTTACCTTTCTAGGATGGCCTTTCTCACATTTAGTCAAGTCTGGGTTCAGAACCATGTACGGGCTACAGCTCCTCTGTTGCCTTACTCTCAGGATCTACCTGGAGTCTCCTCACCTGGACCTCCAGACCCTGGGAAAGCCAGACCAGCCGCTGACCTCAACCCTCCATCACAACCCTGGCCAGGTTCCTCTACTCCCTGTCCTGAGTTAAACCTTAACCCCACTGTATACCACAGGTGTAGCTTTCTGAAACTCTGTAAAAATGAGGGTAAGCATTCATACTGGGTAGTTAAGAGGATAAAGTGCAAAATCCTCAGGGACTTTGCACCTATGGTTTTCTATGCCTACAGTGTTCTTTGTCTCCCTACAGTGTTCTTTCACAGCCCATCCACCCACTAAATCCATACTCTCCATGAGGCTAGAGATGGTACTTGTTTTGTTCACGGCGGTGTTCCTAAGACCTAGCACAGTGCCTGATGTATAATAAGCACTCAGTTAACACTGGCTAAATGCAAAATGAATAATATAAGTAATCCGATAACATGAAATAACTTTTTAAACCATTAAGAGCTGTACAAACAATAATTACTCTCCTAGACAGGGGCTCCCCTCTATGACACTCTGTTAAAAGCCAGTATTGGCCAGTTGTGATGGAATACAACTGTAATCTTAGTACTTTGGGAAGCTGAGATGAGAGGATTGCTTGAGCACAGGAGTTTGAGACTAGCCTGGACAACATTGTGAGACCCTATCTCTACAAAAAGATCTTAAAAATAGCCAGGTGTGGTGGCATGGGCCTGAATCCCGGCTACTTGGAAGGCTGAGGTGGGAGGATTGTTTAGCCCAGGAGGTCGAGGCTACAGCAAGCTAAGATCACACCATAGCACTCCAGCCTGTGCAACAAAGCAAGACCTATCTCAAATAAATAAATAAATACGGGCGAAACACACCAATATTGTAATTGCCTCTGTCCCCAGATGGGGGCTCCTCAAGGGCCCTCCCCAGCAAGTGTTCCTCTGGATGACCAACCTGGGGCAGAGGATCCAGAATATGGAGAAGATGGCTGTGGTGGGGAGGGACTCAGTCCTGTGTCTTCCCCACCCAGTGCAGTCCCTGGAGGAAGAATGCCTGCTGCACGGCCAACACCAGCTAGGAGCTGCACAAGGACACCTCCCGCCTGTACAAGTTTAACTGGGAGCACTGTGGCAAGATGGAGCCCGCCTGGAAGCGCCGCTTCATCCCGGACACCTGTCTCTATGAGTGCTCACCCAACCTGGGGCCTGATCCGGCATGTATGAGTGCCGTTCCCACAAACATGACCCTCATGGCCAGGCGCAGCGGCTCACGCTGGCAATCCCAGCACTTTGGGAGGCCAAGGCAGACAGATCACATGGCTAAACCCTGTCTCTACTAAAATACAAAAATTGGCTGGGCTTGGCAGCAGGTGCCTGTAATACCAGTTACTCAGGAGGCTGAGGCAGGAGAATTGTTTGAACCTGGGAGGCAGAGGTTGTAATGAGCTGAGATTGTGCCACTGCACTCCACCCTGAGTGACAGAGTGAGACTCTGTCAAAACAACAACAACAACAACAAACCAAACAAATAAAAAAACCATGACCCTCAGCAGAGGGCAGAGCCTGCCAGCCACTTACAGGGAGGGTTTGGTCCAGGAATTCGGGTCTGAGGGTGGTGGAGGCCCTCCCCCCTCCCACAGCTCTGGTCCCCTTCAAGCCTGCAGCTGCTGAGATACATGGCTGACAGGAGCCTTCCCTCTCCTCCCCACCCAGGTCAACCAAAGCTGGAGCAAAGAACGCATCCTGAACGCGCACCTGTGCAAAGAGGACTCGAGCGCTGGTGGGAGGACTGTCGCACCTCCTACACCTGCAAGAGCAACTGGCACAAAGGCTGGAATTGGACCCCAGGTGAGGGCTGGGAGGAGACCAGATGAGGAGTGGGAGTGGGGCTTTGGGGTTGGGAGGGGTGCGGTCTGGCCCAAAAGCTAAGGGTCTCATGGTCTCCTCCCTCAGGGATTAATGTGTCCGGCCGGGGCCCTCTGCTGCACCTTTGAGTCCTGCTTCCCCACTGCAGCCGCCCTTTGTGAGGGCCTCTGGAGTCACTCCTACAAGGTCAGCGACTACAGCCGAGGGAGCGGCCGCTGCATCCAGATCTGGTTTGACTCGGCCCACGGCAACCCCAACGAGGAGGTGGCGAGATTCTATGCTGCGGCCATGAAGGCTGGGGCCCTGTCCTGTGGGATTTTGGGACCGTGAACATTGGTTCCTGATCCAAGAAGGGTCCCCTGGGGTTCCTCCGACAACTCATTCTAATAGACAGATCCACGTGTGTCTTGTGTGTTGTAATTTGGGGACGAGTGGGTTGGAGGGACACAATCTTTTCCACTGATAGGCCCCAAATCGGACTGGAACTAGCCTGACGTTCATTGGGAAGTAGGGTGTAGAGGTTGAGCTAGAATACAGGTATGTATCCTTTAGTCTGGGTCTCCTGAGAGCCTCCCCCTCACACCAAGCTTATCACCCCCACACTACACAGAGACAAAGGCAAAGGTGGAGGGAAAATGGACAGAAACTGATGAATTATTGAGCTTCAGGTGGGAAAGCCAGGTTCGTTCCCTTTCCCTCATTAGATGTGGGCTAGGTAGAGACATTGGTGGGAGAGGAGGGTCTCAGTGTGGAATACCTGCCTTGTTTCTGTTTATTTATTTGAGACCCGGGTCTTGCTATGTTGCCCAGGCTGGTCTTGAACTCCTGGGCTCAAGCAGTCTTTGTTCCTTGGCCTCCCAATGTGCTGGGATTATTGGGGTGAGTCACTATGCGTGACCTACTTTTCAATAAATGGTAAGGCTGCAATTAACAGCCTTGTACCTACTGGGCTTGGTGGTTCACATCTGTAATCCCAGCACTTTGGGAAGCAGAGGCAGGTGGATTACCTGAGGTCAGGAGTTTGAGACCAGCCTGACCAACGTGGTGAAACCCTGTCTCTACTAAAAACACAAAATTAGCCGGGTGTGGTGTCAAGCGCGCCTGTAGCCTCAGCTACTTGGGAGGCTGAGGCGGGAGAATTTCTTGAACCCAGGAGGTGGAGGTTGCAGTGAGTGGAGTTTATGCCATTGCACTCCAACCTGGGCGACAGAGTGAGACTCTGTCTCAAAACAAAACAAAAACAAAAACAAAAACAAAAACAAAAACAAAAAACAATCTTGTACCTAATAGAATGTTATACTTGAATTCCAGAAGGATTATTGGGTCAAGAGTACACTTAATTTTGAGAGTTACAACTTTATGGGGGTTGTATCAATGTGCCCCCCCCCCCCAGCAAAGTATGAGAGTGCCTGTCTCTCCGCTGGGTGCGATGACTCATACCTGTGATCCCAGCAGTTTGGGAGGCTAAGGCAGGAGAATCTCTTGAGCCCAGGAGTTCAAGGTCAGCCTGGGCAACATGGTGAAACCCTATCTCTACAAAAAACTAAAAATCTCAGCTGGGCATGGTGGTGTGTGTCTGTAGTCCAAACTAGTAGGGAGGCTGAGGTGAAAGAATCGCTTGAGCCCTGGGAGGCTGAGGCTACAGTGAGTCGTGACTGTGCCACTGCACTCCAGCCTGGGCAACAGAGCAAGACCTACTCTCAAAAAAAAAAAAAAAGAGAGAGAGAGAGTGAGAGAGAGAAAGTGCCTGTTACCTCACAACCTTGTCAATACGGGATGCCATCAAACTTTGGTTTTCTGTTCATCTTACTGGTGGGGAAAAGGGCATCTCAGTGCAGTTTTCATCTGTCATTGTTCCTGAGGTCTGTCCATGGTGACCTATTGAGATCTTAAATTACTGTGTAATAATCCATTCTATGTGCACATCACACTGAATTCAGTCTCCTACTGACGGGCATTGGAAAGAATAGGTTTCTTTTATGATCCTGACATTGCTGACAGCCACAGGCCAGTTATTTGGTAGAATACCCCTCCATTTGGGTTAATCTGTTTCCTCATGATTCACTGAGGTTATGCATTTTGGGCATGAATATCCTACGTGGTTATCTCACGCATCATAACGGGAGCCACGTGGTGTGGGGTTTGCTCATTACTGGTGATGTTAACTTCGATTTTTTGGTTGAGATCATGTCTGCCAGGTTTCTCCACTTTCCCCTTTGTAAGTAATAAATATGTTGTAGGGAGAGACTGGGAACTATAGATATTCTATTCATCAGCACACTTCCACCTGCATGTTCTACTGTCTGATGGACATTTTTTTAAAAAAAGTAAAAACCAGGCCAAGTTCACACCTGTGATCCCAGCACTTTCATAGGCTGAGGCGGGTGGATCATGAGGTCAAGAGATCCAGACCATCCTGGCCAACATAGTGAAACCCCATCTCTACTAAAAATACAAAAATTAGCCAGGCATGGTGGCGCATGCCTGTAGTCCCAGCTACTCAGAGGTCTGAGGCAGGAGAATTGCTTGAACTCGGGAGGCAGAGGTTGCAGTGAGCCGAGATCACGCCACTGCATTCCAGCCTGGTGACAGAGCAAGACTCCATCCCCAAAAAAATAAAAAGTAAAAACAAAACTTAAACATGTCTTATTATATTACACCTCTTTCACCAACCGTTTAATACTTTGCAGGGGTATCTACTATAAAAAACAAACTTCTTTAAAATAGCACAGAAGGCCACACCCCTCCTCTGAGCCCTCAAGCCAAATGATCCTCGCGCCAGCCTATAAATGAGCCCCAGTCACACTTCTCATGTTGGGGGTCTTTGCTCCAGCAACTCCTTCTCTGCATGCCTGAAATGTTCATTAATCCTCTGCAGGCCTGCCCCTTGTGGCCACTTAGATGGTAACCTACACGTCCCCCTAAAATGACTTCTGACCGCTCAGCCTAACAAAGCCACCATTCTGTGCCCTTGTGCGGATTTTTGTCTACTGGGTTTGTTGTACGCCTTTCCTCTAACAAAACATGCTCTCCCGACAGCAGGGTTGTGTCTATGTCATTTTATGCTCTAACCCCAGGGCCTGGGTTAGTGCCTGGCACTGAGAAGGTGCTCAATAAGTTAAGGAATCACTGTATCCATTCTGTCAGTCAACTAATGCTTTCTGAGCATCCAGTCCACTGGCCCATGCTGGTCTCAGCCAACAGGAAGGGAAATGAGTTCTTTGCAAGGTCTGGTGGGGACAGACAGTTCTGAGAACCAGTAACTCTTAGAACAATGAGATGAGGCTTTCACAGAGGGAAGCACAGAGTGTGGTGGTGTTCTGCTGAAGCCCACAGAGGTCAGGGAAGGCTTCCAAAGGAGTAACGTTTGCCAAGCACAGAACAGCACCAGGAATGGGGCTCCAGGAAGAGGTCTCAGTAAGTGTAAAAGCTTAGAGGTAATAGAATTGCGAGAATTCCAGGGTGGCTGAGATAGAAGTTATGTGGGGAGTAGGCAGCCAATAAGGCCAAAGAAGAAACACTGGATCTGTATTTCTTAGGACAGTGCCCTGTGGGCCCCTCACAGAGCTTCTCTCCTGCAACGGCTAGGTGAAAGAAGTCAGGCTTAGAATCAAACTGAGATCTGTAGTTTCTGCAGCTGGGAAGATGAGTAATGTGAGATTGCATGTGATCAGCTGGCACTGAGGGAAGAGCGCAGGTTTCTCTCCTCTCTAACTCCGAAGCCCCTCTCCTGTTCCTGAAGCCCAGATTCTCCACCTCTGTAAGTCAAACACCTTGCTGTTATCTGTGCCTGGTCCTAGGGCAGCCTTTAGGTTGGGGTTGGAAGGAATGCCAATGATTAACCTTGTGGCTAATTTTTATATTTTTAGTAGAGACAGAATTTCAGCATGTTGGCCAGGCTGGTCTCAAACTCCTGACCTCTGGTAATCCACTCACCTCAGCCTCCTGAAGTGCTGGGAGTACAGGCAGGAGCCATTGTGCCTGGTTTCAATAGCATTTTAATGTCTCCACCCCAAAGGGAATATGGGACATATGTAACACATATGTTTGCTTAGAACACATGCAAGCAACTCTCATGAATATTTATAGCGCCTCCTAAAACCTGTTAAATATATATGTTTAGCCAACTCTTTTAGCATAAAACCCCTGTTCTACCCTCACTGCACTTCCCAGCCTGCAGGTTACAACACATCATAAGAAATAAAGCTCTCCTAGGCGGGACACAGTGGCTCACAACTGTAATCCCAGCACTTTAAGAGGCTGAGGCGGGCAGATGGCTTGAGGTCAAGAATTTGAGGCCAGCCTAGCCAATGTGGTGAAACCCCATCTCTACTAGTAATACAAAAATTAGGCAGGGCACGGTGGCTCATGCCTATAATCCCAGCATTTTGGGAGGCTGAGGTGGACAGATCACCTGAGGTCGGGAGTTTGAGACCAGCCTGACCAACATGGAGAAACCCTATCTCTATTAAAAATACAAAAAATTAGCCAGGCGTGGTGGTGCATGCCTGTAATCCCAGCTACTCCGGAGGCTGAGGCAGGAGAATCACTTGAACCTGGGAGGCAGAGGTTGCGGTGAGCCAAGATTGCACCATTGCACTCCAGCCTGGGCAACAAGAACAAAACTCCATCACAAAAAAAAAAAAAAAAAAGAAAGAAAGAAAGAAAAATTAGCTGAGTGTGGTGGCGTCTATAATCCCAGCTACTTGGGAGGCTGAGGCAGGAGAATCACTTGAACCCAGGAGGCAGAGGTTACAGTGAGATCGTGTCACTGTACTCCAGCCTGGGTGACAGAGTAAAACTGTGTCTCAAAAGAAAAGAAAAGAAGGAAGAAAGAAAAGAAATAAAGGTCTCTTTTCCAAATGTAAAGATCTTGTGATTTTAAGCTGACATAATTGATGACAAGAGTAGGATCTATGGAGTGGCCAGGTTCCCCCAGCGTGGGTGAATGCACTGCTGCCTGATGGAGCCACTGGTAGCTCAGTTATCTCCCTGACAGCTTTGGGAGGAAGGTAGGTAAGCTCTCCCCGATAAGATCACCTGCTTTTACACTGAGATTTCAGAGACTTCATTTTTTTCTCTGATCTCCTCCATCCAGACCCTGCAAGGGCCATCTTTGCTGGCCCCAGCTTTCTAGTGGGAGAAGTTGGGGGCAGTTCAGCCTGACTCATCATCAGGCCCATCAAGTTTGGTGAGGATGCTTGCCCTCTAGTGGCACTTGCAGGGATGTATTTATGTAAATGCTGTTATGGGGAACTTAGGTTCTAAGGGGACAGATAGTCCCTGACCAGCTGCCATCAGGAATTTACATGTTTCTGAATTATGAGGAAAACGTCTTGTGAATATTTGGGATCTTAGAAAAAGCTAACCCGGAACAATTTAAAGCTTTATAGGCCAAAATGGA